TGGTTTGCGGCCACTACCCCGGCTGTGTGGGCGGCCCTCAGGTTTGCTCGAAGCACGACGCGGGCAGCTTGAATACGTGCGCGAACCAGCGGGGGCGGCCTGACTACGCGTATCGCCCAGGTGACCTGTACTTTTCACCATCGATCTTGACTACATGGGAGGTTCCGCCTCCGTAACAATATAAATGCATACAGGGGTCTATATAAATGAATACCCCTGTAAATATCTGATTATAGATATGGTCAAACTTTTTGTATTCGCAAGCTTAGAACAGGGCTTGGAAGTAATCTATTATGACGAAAAAAAATCCAGCATAAGAGGAAAAGTGTGTTCTTTTGTTTCCAGTCAAATTGAGTCATTGATCTTGAGGTTCATTCAAAAAACTCCCCAAAAATCTCCATTTTCGTTTCGACATTACCTTAGAAAAAGGTATTATGCGCAGAAATTCGTCCGCTGAATATCTAATTAAAGTTCTTCTTAATTAGGTTACCTTTTATAGAAAGTTGTTCTTATTAAGCTGAGGAATAAAAATATCAGACTTTTTTTTGCGGATGTTCTTTTTGTTTGACAATATGTCTTGCTGTTTAGAGAAATTTCCAAATATGGCTCACATAGCCATCTTCATGCGAACTACCATCCAAAAACTCATTTCTTCGATAAATATATTTAATAGGTACCTTATTTCAAAGGTTTTTATAGAAAGCTCGAACGGAATCTGAATTTATGCATGAAAGCGTGAACACACTGAAAACGCTAGAAAATGTATCACCATTTGTAAGTCATTCGGCTTAAATAACAACAACAGGTTTAAAATATAATGACTAGGGAAAAGGTCTCCTTAAATGAAGAAAGTGGTTTGGTAGTACGTTAAACCTGCGGAAAGATTTAAATTTATTTTTATAATTTACAGCTATTTTTACTCCTACGGAACTTGAGGATTATCACGAAAATTTCGTTTTTTTTCTTAATGAAAAATAAGTATTTCTTATGTTTCTTTTAAGTACCAACTTTGCCTAAGCTCGTCTCTTATTACTTCGAAGTTTTCATATATGCATTAATGCCGGTTTGCGAGTGATTATCAATATTTCGCAAACTTCCGCACGTTGCACATAGACATACTGTAGACTTCTGGGGTGTTTGGCCTCTATGTGATGTAGTGTTAAAAACTGTATTGATTAAGAATGTGCTGCCTACAAAACAGAATTGACAGAAAGGTGCTCACTTTGCGTAGGCCTTCTCCAACAGGGCAGGCCAGAATTCCGTCTGCCGGTTGGAATGCACAAACAAAGGACGTCCACCAGGTCGGACAGGAAGGCGATCGTCCACGATGACCTCCTCCCAAGCGCCGAATTGCCAAAAGCGAAAGCAAAAGCAGCCAGCGTACCAGTCGGATCGAAAGGACTGTCCCAGGGGAATGCAACGCAGAGTTAGACGCGGCTGGGTTACCATGGCAGCCAGGGCCGCGACAACCCAACAGTCTCCTAAAATGTGAACAAACGTGGATGCTTTTCATTTTCTTAAAGTAAGCTTTTAACAAAAGAAGTTGACTCTGGGCTCCGAAAAAAACTGCAGATGTGTAGAATGAACCAGTCACATCAAACAGGCATTCGGTGGAGAAAATGTCAAAAAGCACTGATGCATCAGGCAAGTTATTGGTAGGCAGGGCGAGTACTTTCCTGTTGTTAACTAGTTCTGGTTTGCAGAAGATGACATCCCACACGTTGTGCAACACAAAGGTTCAAAAACGTTTTCACTCCATACAATGCAGCATTGAGAATTTAACTGGGGCTCGATACTACTGTAGAAAAGAAGTTATTCTCTGCTGAATACTGCCAAATACAGTCCACGGTTTTATCGCACCTTTTGCGAGCATTAGTTTCCTTAAATTTTTCAGCTTCATGTTTGAAATGCATTCTCAAGCTAAAGGCTTTTTGAACCCTTCGCTTCAAGATCTGTGTCGCGTAATACACCGGGGGAATAGGTAGGACCGACTCTGAATACTATAACTGGTTCTAGCAATTTCTGTTAGCGGCGAAATGTGCAAATGTGTACAATATACCAAAAAGACAAATAAACACGTACTGCCAAAGATCCTACATACCAACCAATTTAGAAATCGCACGAAAGGTTAAACTTTAAACGGAGTTAGAGGTTAGTGGAATGATGAATACAGTCGAACTTCGGTTAATGAGTTTAATCCGTTCCGGCGCTCAGCTCGTCATCTAAAATACTTGTCTTGCGAGTCTTAGCCAATCAAACTGCATCAGTTCACCGGTTGGCTGCAGGTGGCCATGGACCCTCGCCCTGGGTCAAGACTCACTCCACGCAGGCAAGCATGTGACAAGAAATACCGCCGCCGACGAGTACGCATGCACTGGTCGCCTACGTCCGTCCGCCCCTCCGTCTAGCAAATCCATCTGACCAATCATTTGCCAAGGCCGACTCACACAAAGGCCGCTCCAGACGTTGTGCCGATTCCCGCAGTCTCCTCACTTCGAAAGCGGCGCTGTGGCCGGCGGTTGCTCGCTCCTCGTACAGTCAAATTCCTCTCGCCTATTCTCCATTGTTTCTACATATAATTAAGTGTTCCACTGCATATTGGCCTCCCATGACCTCTCCTCTCCTAACGAACCGGGCCTGAAGATCGCAGTTGCTAGGGTTTCACTGACTTAACCCCCCTGCGATAGACAACTGGTTAACTGAGCGAAAGCTTGTCAATCGAAACAAATTTTCTATAAGTTGTCCACCACTCACTTAAAAAGCTCGCAGATGGCGCTGCTCGTCACACGAGGTTCCACTATACTTGAATTTTTAAAGGAAGGTCTTCAAAAATACATACTTTTCTCTAGACTGATACTTTTCGGATCCTCTGGACTTCAAATGAATAGCCTTACATAATCAGGCAACACCGCGATATGTATATCTTCTTCAATTGAGAATTTTATTTCCGTTCACGACACGCTGCCCTTTAGCAGACATTTTGATTCATGAGCCAGTATATTTCTAATTTGTAAGGAGGTTTAAGGTGTTGTTTTCGGTTATGAAAATCGTATTTAAAAATCACTTTTGTTGTCTAGGGAACAGTAGCGAATTTACATCAGTGTTTAATGGATGTTGGCGCATACCATGTTGCACACAGTTGCTGAAACTTCTCTGAATAACAGCTGCTTTTTATTGCGCAAACCGGGTCAGTAGATTTTTAATGAAAGGGGACGTGCGACGCTGGATATCAAGGGTAAATTGCGTACAAAAAAGCGACTCTCGCCTCTTTTCCCAGCTTCACAAGCCGACCTGCGTTCCGCCTTTCGGGGTGAGTGAGTATGCAGTTTTGACTGTCAAGAAAATCATGCAACGCAGCGGTCTGCGGTATTCATCCGCTTGATTTCGCGTTTATTTGGGCGGAATTTAAGGTAAAGAACACGTTTTAAAGTTGAGAAAAATTCCCATCAGAGAATTCAGCAGAGTATTTGGGTAACATACGTAGCTTTCGATAAATTCTTCCAGACAGCGAATTTTCGGGTGCTATTTTCAACTAACCCGGTCCTACACGGCGAAGGTAAGGATAGGTTGTCAGTTCAGACCACTTCTATGTGCATCTACTCATTTACCTGCTCCTGTGGAGCAGGGTATATCGGTCGCACGGGTTGACGCTTATCAGAAAGAATATGGGAGTGCCTCCTGGCATGACTGAGCAAATATGAAATCAGAAGCATTAACAGCACCATCCTTGCCCACATGGCTGACTCCAGACATCATGTGAACCCCAATGAAGCCTTCAAGGTAATGTATAAAGCTCCACCGAACTACCCAAAGTCCCTGTGTCAACGTTTGCTAGCAACCTCGATCCGGTTGAATAAGCCGGTTTTGTGCGTGTAAAAGAACCCTCTGCAAGCTCGAAGCTCGGTTGCATAACTACCGTTACATAACGTCCGCGCTTTCTATCCCTTCCACCTTCTATCCTTCCACCCCTGTCGAGATTAAGCAAATTCTCATTGCCTCGTAACCAGCCTAATACTATCAACCCCCAACCACTTTCCCTTATTTCCATGAATAATGTGCCTGTAAGAATGAACATAATTGCTCGAACGTTACCTTTTACCCCCTTTCTACATAAATGTAATGGCCCGAGGAGAATTTATCAAAAGCAACGTATGCTCGCCAAATACTCTTCGGAATTCTAAAGAACACATGCCAATATCTGTCCGAAACCGTAAAATTGCACCTATCCCAATTCGATTCGATATAATTTGAAAGCAAATTACTCCAACATACAATTGTATGCACACTAAGAGGGAGTTGTTTGCTGTTAATAGGTAATTCGGTAGGGAAATATTGCAACATCTATACTAGCTGTTATCCCTGTTCCTACGAACGGAAGTGCATGGATGACAAATGGAAGTAAAGAGTAAACTAAATTAAAGAAAGCTAGCGAGCGAAACAGCGGTGAAGCAAGGTGAAATGTGCCTCACGCTAAATTAAATGTCTTGTTTCCCACTAAGTTTGATTTCATCTTGGCCGAGTCTCAAATAGGTCAAAGTTTATTCTCAAGTTTGCAGAATTCTTACAAGTCAGTTACTTGGTAGGCGTACAATATATCGACTACTAGTCCTTTTTGAGACTATAGTTGCTTTACTGTTTGCTTAGCGTTTAATTCGATTAAGTACATTGACACTGTGTGGATACATTCGTCTGCTAAAATATGCTCATACGAACAGATTGCTGAAAATATCCAAGGGCTTCCGCCGAGCATTTGTCTTATGGGCTTTTCAAACAAGAAGCAGTTCTTCCAGTACTTGTTCGTGTACGAACGAATCGGACCCTGTGCTTCTTGAAAGCCGCCCTACATACGGCGGGCGACACCCAATCTAAGCAAGCGACTAGACCATGTAGTCAATATCCAATTATCCTAGTAATCGTCTGCCTAGATTTAATCAGGACTGTGATTTATGTCAACTTCTGCCCCATTTTTATGGTTTATGGTAGCTTCTTTCCTCTGATTATTATTTGGACTGAACTATGACACACACTGCTACGCACAGGCATTCTGCGAAATTTCAAACTGTTGTATGGTTCCATTCGTTATCTACGTCAGGCAATTGAAAAGCTGTTAAGACATTTTGTTGGAGAAAATAAATCATGCTGCCTACGTCTGTTTTAAAATATCCAGGTGTGCTGTCATTTAGTTTTTGAATAAAAAATAAAAAACGCGCACATGATAGGAGAGACAATTTTGGCCACGTTGCTAACTGTTATTATACTCGCCTCCAGCTAGATATATTTGTGTGAGTAATTGATGAACAAGCGGAACAGTCAAGAACCGAGCAGATAATTTCAAACTAGAGTTCATTGCAAGGGTACCATATTTTACTATGAAAAAACTATTTATTTCGTTGTAGGTTAATACTTAATTTACTTTGATAATAAGTTTACTATTTAGTTTGGGTTAGTTTAGTTTGAGTTAAGTTTAGAACCGCATGTAAAAACCAGACTGTAAAAAGTGACTTCTGCAGTAGTACCAAGATTTCCCATTTCTTTTCGACGCTATTGTAAGTTCAAAGATAGGTTACAGAAAAAAGATGCATACAAGTATTCGTTGATTGTGCTAATTTACTATTCAAGTACGTATTGTGAAAACATTTTATGCGTAAAACGAGGTAAGATTTTAACAAAAAAAAAACATTTCCAATTCCTGACTAATTTTGAACCCGACTGGCTGTTTCACTTGCATTGAGGGTTTCCGCACAACATGCGGTGCAGATGGATTCTAAGATAAATCTCATATTTCTCCACACTAGTAGGACGACGGCAATAAATTACCCATAAATATTTGCAATGAATGTCGCAGACCTTACAAGAGCAACATTATTCAAGAGACGCATTATGCATGGATATTTACGATCTTGAAAATCCCAACATTAAAAACCTTTACAACCTCAAGATCACATGCTTTAAACATAAAATTGTCATGGGTGTACTCCGATCAAAACGGAACACAATATGCTACCAAATTAGTGTACGAAATAATATTTTCTGCGTACTTCCTATTTTTAAAAAAATATTTGCATTTCTGAGCGAGTCGAAAGGCAATGAAATAAAAATAGTAATAAGTAAGCAGTCAGACGGTCAGAAGGAAGTTCTTTTAAAAGCCGGAACTCCGATATAACTGAAATATTTAGGTTACAGCCCTTCTCAAGTTACCTTTACTAATTGAACACGCATTTCAGAAGGTCGCTTAACATTTAATGAACAAACATATACAGAACCCCTAGTGAAATTAACTTATTCTTTCTGGTCACTGACTGAGACCATATTCTCAACACAACGCATGCACGAGCACCTAAGTAACTCAAAACTTAAAACCAACTATTATTAAAATTGGACTTGTTCTGTGAAGTCAAGTACTCTTTAGTTGAATTTCTTCTTCTTTTAGCTCCCTTAAGGCACCGTGTTTGTCAAAAGAGACCACACCACGCTGTCAACTAGGAGGTCGCAAGCGCTGTTTCATTATGCGCAATTCGTTTAGCGGTAACTGGATTTTTCGGACGAAAATCAGTCTTCTGCAGTGACAAACAAGAAATTGGGGCTTTGTATCGACCAGATGGGGATGCAAGAAAAGTCTGCCTGTTATAAATGCTGATTTCGGTGTAGGGAAAAGAGAGCTTACATCTGTAAGATCCTGCCGCG